TCAGGAGAGCTGCTTCCGCACGATAGACCAGCCAAAACTAGGTGAAAGTTGCACAGCAATTCAAGCAAATTGTCAAGTCAAGAAAAAATCAAGAAAACAAGGCACCACAATGGCAAACTAAGGCTGGCGGCCACGACAGCACTGAAGGTCTGAGCACTCACGCCTCCTAGCTGGAGGGGAAGTGACGCCCACCTCCCACCTGGAGGGGATGCGGTGCCCACCTCCCAGCTGGAGGGGTTTGCTCAGTAGCTCAAGGAAGGGTGCAATGCGGAACCACAGCCACACGGCCGGGTAAAAGCTCTGACACGATATGGCTCGGGCGAATAGGCCAAAAACAAAGGGGGTCCAGTACCTTAACACAGTTGAGGCCCGAAACCCAGGTTCACAGCTACTCGCTCAGCTAACTGTGCAGGCTACAGCCTTGAGCCAAGCTTGAGCCAAGGTCATATTTTCTTCAGCAAGCGCGAAAGCGTTACCCAGTGGGCGTCCATCATGCAAATGAATTCACCTGGAGCCCCTAAGGGGCGAGACATAGTCTCTCGGGCTGGTCGGCCAACCTGCTACGGCAAACCTCAGCTCAAGGCTGGGAGTGTGGTGCACCCACTACTACCTACAGGCGCCTATGACACAGTTAAGAGGCTCTGACCGCTAGTAGAACAGGTCAGATGGAGGACTGTGGCTTTCACTCGTCCGAGTCGCCAGCTGTACAAAGCACTTCGCTTTTCCTACTCCTCTCATCGTACTGACCATAGCCCAAGCAAAAGACCTGCTCCCAGCAGCTAGTCTGTGTCCATCTCATCAGAGGAAGGAATTCTCGAAACCGCAGCCCCGAGGCTGGGAATCCATGGCATAACAGCACCCGCACAGGAGCACAAGCGACTGTCATGCACTGATGCCTCAGCCTTTAGGCCTGGGTTGACACAGCCAACGAATTTCCGAGCCTCACGCCCAAACAGCCAAAGGGGGTCCTCTACCTCACCTTACACAAAGCAGCAGCCCCTCAATTTGGTACCTTTAGCGCGGGGCCCACGCACTCCCCTCAACCAGGCGCAGGGAGCGACGCTTTCCCTTCAACTAACTACGTGCAGGCGCAGGGAACAACGCCCTGCTAAACTTTCTGCAAGAAAAGATTTCGAAACCCCGAAGACTGCTCCCAGGGACCTGCTGACTGGTCACTGGGAAAGGGCCTAAACGACCAAATGGACCCACGCAGTAAAGGGACCTTCCCAGGCTGCCGCAAGCAAGGGAAGGGAACCCACTGCCCCTGTAAACCCCAGACTGTTTCAAGGGAAGGGCCAAATCAGGACTCTGGCCCCACGGAACGCCGACCCGTATGATCTTTGGTGCCAGCGGGCCAACTTTTTCTCAAGGTGCGAAAAGGGAATTTGGGGCAGAAAACCTCGGCAAAAGCCTATGCCAGCAACAGCATGTTGCATTTTTGGCCTCTGCGCTACACCCTAAACCCCAAAAGAGAAAACACCGGAACAAAAAGGACAGAATCCGGACAACATGCCAAAAGGCTCATCACCCTTGTAGTCTCGCGCAGCGAAGAAGAAGGAGTGACAATTGGCCTGCACCTCGTGAGCCTTCAATTATATGCCCAGTGAGGAGACGAGATACAGGTCCTGAGCCTGCCTGGAAAGCCCCATAGTGCGCTGATCCCATACCTGGTGGTAGGGCGAAGGCAGGCAGTCCAGGCAAGGAGGGAAAGTGACTCAGCCGGCTGCATCCACCGTCAGCGAGCAGACAGCACTGCCAAGTACCTACCCTAAAACCAGCCCTAAACCCAGGGCACCAGCGGCAGGAGCAGTCACAAGGTCTGAGGAAAGGACTACTCTCTGCCGCCGGCGCATAGGCCTGCAGGGAAGCCCCAGACAACCCTGCAGAGGGCCAAAAACTTTTGCCTCATCTCAACACGAGGCCATTACCAAACGCATCCTAACCGAAAGGCTTAACGTCCTCCGCACATGGGCAACTGGCCGAGAACGAAACGCGCTCTAATTAGGCGAAAATCCAAAGGCGAGCAAGGAACCACAAGCTCCCTCTGTGCCAGACACTCTGCTGGCACTTGCTTGGGGGCATCTGCATGGTTAGGGGAAAAAAGCCAGCCTCAACACAATTTGCGAGGCCCGGGTTTAGGATGCACCGCAACCCCCATGGTCCCTGCAGAGACTAATGGAAGGGACCAGGGCCAACAAGCCTCACAAGGAACCCCAAATCACTGAAGCGAAGACCATGAGAGCCCAGGCTGGACGACCTCACGACACCACACGAGGGTAGGCCAGCCTGTGAGGAGTGCTTGCCAGATTTCGGCCGATACCTCAAACTGCCAGCTAGGCCCTGAGAAGGCCACTTCTGATGTGCAAACCACAGCCTCAAGGGCGGGGTCGTTACACCACAGCCTAGAGGCGGGGACAGATGGGGTCTGGATAGAAGTGGCACAACAGAGTACAGGACAAACCTTCCTGCAAAGGTGCTTTGAAGCGGCAACTGTTGTATGACCAATCTGATCGGCGCGGTTAGTCACAACTCAGCCCGTTCGCCTTCAGGAGAGCTGCTTCCGCACGATAGACCAGCCAAAACTAGGTGAAAGTTGCACAGCAATTCAAGCAAATTGTCAAGACAAGTAAAACCAAGAAAACAGGGCACCACTATGGCAAACTAAGGCTGGCGGCCACGACAGCACTGAAGGCCTGAGCACTACGCCTCCTAGCCGGAGGGGAAGTGATGCCCACCTCCCACCTGGAGGGGATGTGGTGCCCACCTCCCAGCTGGAGGGGTTTGCCCAGTAGCTCAAGGAAGGGTGCAATGCAGAACCACAGCCCCACGGCCGGGTAAAAGCTCTGACACGATATGGCTCGGGCGAATAGGCCAAAAACAAGGGGGTCCAGTACCTTAACTCAGTTGAGGCCCGAAACCCAGGTTCACAGCTACTCGCTCAGCTACTGTGTGCACCCCACCGGGGTTGAGCCAAAACCTTGAGCCAATGTCATATTTTCTTCAGCAAGCGCGAAAGCGTTACCCAGTGGGCGTCCATCATGCAAATGAATTCACCCGGAGCCCCTAAGGGGCGAGACATAGTCTCTCGGGCTGGTCGGCCAACCTGCTACGGCAAACCTCAGCTCAAGGCTGCCTGTAAGATCCTTTTCGTATAATTTTACATTTTACATTTTTTAATTTTTTACACGTTTTTGACGTGTAAATCTATCCCTGGAAATTACACGTTTTTGTGTAAATTTGGGTGTGTAAATTACACGTCAAAACGTGTAATTTATACACCCATGTTCTCCGAATTACACTCTGTGTCGGTACATTTGAAGCCGAGACTACTGGCACACAATTCCGTTTTGTTTGTGTATCCATGTGTTTCCCAATGCCATTTGGACGAAACACACACACGAAAAAACAGATGTTGTCGCCTCCACTGAAGAATGCGGCCGGCACAACAACGAGCCGAACAAAGAGATGTATACATGTTTGCGTGGAGGAGAGAGAGTTCTCTGTTCTTCTGAGCCAGAAATTTGAGCCAGAAGAATTTTTTGGTGGAGGTTTGAGCCACAGAAGTTCGAGCCACCAGCACATCTTTTTTCTGGAGGAGATCCTCTGTTCTATTTGAGCCAAAAACTTGAGCCACAATAATTAAGTTTTAGGGTTTAGGGTATAAGGTCTGTAGCAGAAAATTTGATCCAGAAAATGAGAGGGTGTGTAAGGTCTGTAGGGTTTTATAGAGGGTTTAAGGCAAAAAAGGTCTCTATAGGGTTTATAGGGTTCGTGTGTGTTTTCCCTCTTTCTCTCACTCTCTGTGCGTGTGCCCTCACACCTCGTCGGTCAAAACTTTTCCTGCTGTGCTTTAATGAGCCGTTCGCAGTTTCGTTGTGCAAAAGCTTCAATGAAGCATGCGATGCCCTTCTTTGGAAGTCGATGTGTCACATGTTTCGAATCTGCACTGCGAATTTCTTTTTTCGCGAGAGCGATGAGAGTGCTTCGGCAGCACCCGGATGTCCTTCCAAGTGCGAGAGACCTCCCCCTGTGCCCGAACTCGGTGTAACACCAAGAAAAAGGGACAGGGGACTGCTATGATACACTACGGCCTGACCTAACTCGGTGTAACACCAAGAAAGTAACAGGGGAGTTCTTTTTGATATATTTTCCTTTACCCCTGCCCTAACTCGGTGTAACACCAACAGAAGGGACAGAGCAGTGATATGGTCATCACTAGTCGTTGAGGATGGCGATGCTGCCCTCCATAGCCCTCCCCTGTCCTAACTCGGTGTAACGCCAAGAAAGGAACAGGGGAGTTTGCTTTGGAGTCAAAACCAGCCACAGCCTGCCAGAGAGCACTCTGAATCTTCTTTTGTGGGAATGCAAACACACACTCTGTAAACTGTAAACCCTCTTGGAGCAGGCCTTCGTCAGCCGTGCCACAAAACCCAGCCTGCCAGAAAGATGCAAACAGAGAGTCTTCCTTTTGTTGGTTTAGGGTTTAGGGCAGTTTAGGGTTCAGGATTTATATAGAGGTTTCTAGAGGGTTCAAAAAGGTTTTTGTGCGGCAGGCCTCTGTGCACTGCGATTTTATTTTTTTCGCGAGAGCGATGAGAGTGCTTCGGCAGCACCCAAAAGGATGTCCTGCCAAGTGCGCGAGAGACCTACCCCTGCCCTAACTCGGTGTAACACCAAGAAAGGAACAGGGGCGGGCTTGTGAGCAGGTCACGACAGCTTGCGAGAGACCTACCCCTGCCCTATAACTCGGTGTAACACCAAGAAAAGAACAGGGGCGGGCTTGAGCAGGTCACGACAGCTTCTGCCAGTCCAGGTGAAGTGCAAGCCTCATCTTGAGGTTCAGCTTGTGGCTCGCCTCCTCTCGCTGAACACCACGACAGCAGGATGCCATGAGAGTGCCGAGCTTGGACATGTAGTCCTCGAGGGCCCCGAAACCCAAAATCGTTTAGACTTCAAGCCCTCTAAGTCCTAGGACCCATATATATATATATATTAAACCTCTACACACAAAAAAACCCTTTGGATTGTGCGAGTACGTGTTTTTCCAAAGCAGGAGACCCTTGATTTCTCTCCTCCCCTCGCCAGCAAGATGTGAGGCCAGGATGAATCAAGTGACTGATCATGATGATATGCTCGCAGGCATGCATCCTTTTAGAAAAAGGCTGTCTCTATAGGGTTTAAAAGGGTTGCAGTATTTGTTTGTATTTATAAAAAGCACAAATGAAAAACATGCATTGTTCAGGAACAAGAGAGTCTTTTCTGTAGGATTGAAGGCCCGACGACCTTCGCTCTGAAAGCGGTCCCCGACCATGACATACAAGCATGCGAAGTCCCGATGGTTCGCCTTGAGTCTGTCTGCAGCTTCGGCAGGAAGGCAGAAATAGCCCTGTGCAATCGGCCATTCCTCCAATATCTCCTCGAACTTGCATGTCAAATCAAGGAGTAACCCAATCTCTTGGAAGTCTTGACCAGGAACACCAAAATGAGCCCACATTGCTCGCACGGCTGCTGCCATGTCCTTGATTTCCGCCGCTTTTCCACGAAGCTTCGGATAGTCCTTCTGTTTCTTGCACACACTGACCTTGTTCAGTCTCTGGGAGTAGGGGCTGTGGACCTTGTGGGTGGATTGGTATGTCTTCAGGAAGCCCCAGAGTTCATGCAAATTTTCGCCTGGAGTCGCCTGCATCATTTCCTCACAGAGGATCCAAAAAACCGACCCATATAGCTGCTGCAGATAGCCAAGGTATCGACAGTGCATCAGGTCGAAATGGACCACGAGCACGGAACAAAGGTCCTTCTGGAACATCTTGTTCATGCTTCGGTCGGGCCATGCTTTCCAAGCAGCAGGGGTCCACAGACTTGTCCTCCATTGGGCATCGTCGGAAAAACAGTGCCAGGAAAGGTCTCCTCGTTTGTGGCATTGGCACAGGCAGCAAGGGGAATTTGAATTCCACCGGGGAAGGCCCTGGAACTGTGCCATGTAGTCCAGGTCGCCACAGCTGGCCACCAGGACCCCTCGCCACTCGTCGGCGAGGTATTGGCCAGCTCGCTGTCCCTCGGGACTGTCGGGATCGAAATCATATCCTCGCCAGTCGGCTTTCGGGAAAATTCCGGACCACAACGATTCGAAAGACCAGAGTAAAAGACTCCACAGGTCATCATTCGTCTGGCTAGAGAATGACTTGTGCCAGGCGGCCCAGATGTACAGCTGGCTTTGTTTCGTGGAGCCGCTACCCACAAGGGAAGCCCACGACATCACCAATGCACTGGAGGACCAAATTTTCCCCTTGGCCAGCACCGGTGTCTCGTCGCCGTGCAATGACAGTGGTATTATTTTGCTCAGGGATGGCTCCGATGCCAGTGGGTGGCCCTGCCACTGCGGCAGCCCTCTGGCCGACTGCCAAAAGCGATCCAAAGACGCCTGTCCAGGCATGATCACTTGTTTCCATGCTGCCTTGTAATTGTGGTAGAGGCTGCTAAATAACTCGTGTGGCAGGCTGATGGTGTAGGCATGCTCGTCGCTCGGCACTCCGTCGATGGGCACAGGCACTTCCGAAGCATCTTTTCGCAAAGTGGTGCGACTGGGATTGTACATCAGTGGCTCCTGCCCGACCAGTCTCATCAAGTCCCTGTTGACATTGTTGCTGTGTTGACCGGAGGTTCCAAGCTTGGCGAGGGGCTCGAGGTCACTTACAGTTCGTTCTCTGGCATCGTGCAATGCTGCCAGAGATATTGCTTGCACCTGCTGTGGTGATAGCAGGCCCCATGCAAACTGTTCCAGGAGCCAAACTCTCAATCTGGAGCCTGGCAGTTCACTGCTGGCTGCTGCGATGCCAGCACCTGTGGCCCTTTTTTTTTTGGGAGGTGGCCCCACCGGCAAAGCGGCCATCAGAACAACAGAGATAGGACATGTCCAATGAGCTCATATTTTGCTCTGTAAAGTAAAAACCCTATAACCCTGAACCCCTCCCTGCCCTATAACTCGGTGTAACACCAAGAAAAAGGGACAGGGGACTGCTATGATACTGCCCCCTCCCCTGACCGATAACTCGGTGTAACACCACAAGGAAGGAACAGGGTGGATATTGGAGAGAAGGCTTTGGGCAATACTTAGCATGATTATCCGGACTTCTGAGGGTTTAGAGCCACAAAAGGGACCAGGCTTTTTGGGCAATACTTAGCATGATTATCCCTGTTTCTGAGGGTTTAGGATCAACTCTTTAAATCATCTCTAAAGCCCTCTAAGCCCTTAAAAATTAAAGCCTGGACCCTAAACCCCTAGCGGCCGGCCTCAGAGGCCACGGGCCTTCAACTGCCAGACATCTCCTCGACCACTTGGTTGCACAGCTGCCCTGCAGAAGGGTTCGGATGTATATATAAGGTCCCGAGTCGAGGGAAGATGGTCCCCGATTCAGCACAGCATGTATGGCCTGCTTCGAGCAGGGTCGCTTGGAGATTCTCCTTGTTGATGTGTGTGCCATCGGGCAGGTCCTGCAGCACACATTTGCACATATATATAGGCAGACTTGTACACATGTCCCTGGTCCTGGAAGGATCGCACATGCTCCAGCATAGATTTCTTGTCCGTCAGAGCTTTGATGGTGGTCTTCCTGTTGGGGGCTGTGACATGAAGCATGGGCTCTCTATACTCTGTTTTCTCTTATATACACATAGACTCGTGACGAGACGAGATGCATTTTCGCCAGGAGGGGGTCGTCTGGGTTCTGCTTGATCTTCTCGCTCAGCTTGGTAGCATCCTGGAAATGATATTCGTCTCCCTGTGTGTGCCCTAACTCGGTGTAACACCAAGAAAGAAACAGGGGACTGCTAGAGGATACTCCGGAGCACCTTCTTGAGCTTCTCGACAGCTGCTTCTGCCTTCTTCAGGAGCTCGTCCGCTTTCGCCCAGTCGGCCTCTGACAACTTCGCTGGCACGGCACCCTCCTCCTTCTTGTCCTCGATAGCTTGCATCGGTGTGGCCGGCGGAGCAGTCGATGCCGTCGCACCAGAGCCGCTCGACTGGTTCAACCTGACCAAGTCCTCATCCGAAGGCTCAGGCCGTTGCATCGCCACACTGTCGAACAGAAGCTGGAGTTGTGCTGCTTGGTTGCCGGAGACTTTGGCAGCGTCCGATTTGATTGCTGCCTGGTCACTCCGCTCGTCCATGGAGGAGGATCGCAAGGTTCTCCATTGACAGAACACCACGTTGTCTTGTGTGACAACAGACACTTCATCATTCAAGACGGCTGTCCGCAATTGCTCATCCGACAACCCAAAGCGCCCTTTGAAGAGTGTGCGGGGCAAGCCCTTGTCTCCCCACCCCGTTTCCTGCTTCTTCGTGAGACTGCTTGTCCCGGTCACTGCAGCTGCATCGCAGCTGAGGGCAAGCTTCCCTGACTCGGGGTCACGAGTCACTGCCTCCTCGATGAACTTCGTCAAGTTCTTCCTCTTGCTGCCCCCCTGCTGATTCAAAGCCTCCCACTCCGTCTTCAAAGTGTCCGGCACTGCTCCTGCTGCGAGCAACACATTGAACTTCGTCTGCTTGCTGCGGTCTCGTCGCTTCGGCGAAGGTTGGGTCTTTGCCTGCTCCGGCTCTGCTGGAGTCTCTTCAGGCCCAAGCCCATTGATCCAGTCGCCAGTCAAGGCCTCTGCCATGCTTCGCTTCTTGACCAGGGGCTTTGGCTTGGGGTTGGCCTTTGGCTTGGGGTTGGCCTTTGGCTTGGGCTCGGCCTTTGGCTTGTGCTCTGCCTTTGGCTTCGGGTCGGCCTTTGGCTTGGGCTCGGCCTTTGGCTTCGGGTCGGCCTTTGGCTTGAGCTCGGCCTTTGGCTTCGGGTTGGCCTTCGGTTTTGGGTCGGCAGGCTGAGGCTTCTTTGTGGTTTGCCTCGTTTTGGGCTGGGCAGGGTCGGGCTTCGGTGTTGCCTTGCCAGGCTTGGCAGGCTCGGCTTTGGGGGTTGCCTTCGCTTTGGGCCCTTTGACCTTGGCAGGGTCGGTCTTCGCTTCGGGCTTGGCCTTCGCCTTTGGTGTGCTTTTCGCCTTTGCAGCAGCCTTCCCCCCTGGCTTTCCTGACGACTTCAGGACCGACGGTCTTGCCTTACTGGTGGGCGCGACAACTGGGGTCTCGTTTTCCTCCTCCTGTACCTCCTCGTCGTGTTCCTCTTCCTCCTCTTCTCCTTCTTGCTCTTCCGGTTCTTCTTCCTCAACCTCCTCAGGAGCCTCTGGCTCCTCGGCCTCCTGTCGCTTTGTCTTTGCCATGTCTGCGGGCTGTGTGGATATATGGTCACACAAAAGAGTGTGACCGGCGAAAAAAATGTGCCAAAACTCTCGGGTGTCAAAAGCAGCTCAAATTCTGGGCACCGAAAACGGGTCCTAGATTTTGAATTTCCTGTGTGAACATACAAGGCCACCCAGGTTGGAGCCTTAAATTTAGGAAGTTGTCTTCCCCAGCTCCAACCAGAAGCAAAGACTTTCAGTTGACCTATGCGCCCTTTGTTCCACCCCCCCCCCCATCATATCCCCCCCCCCACCCCCCCCCCACCCCCCCCCCACCCCCCCCCCACCCCCCCCCCACCCCCCCCCCACCCCCCCCCCCACCCCCCTAAACCCTAAAACCACACCACCCCACAGGGGGAAGAATTTGGGGGGGCGTCATGGGGGGGTACCATGGGGTGGGGGCAGCGACGCTGCACCATTTTTATACACCCACAGATACAGAGAAGGAGACATTCACGAAGGAGAAACGAAGCTTTTTCTGGGCATATATAGTTTTCTCTATTGAAAAGCTATATAGACTGAGCCCGATTTTGTCTGTTTTTGCTGAAATTGTATACTTTTCAGCCAAAAGTGTATGCACTTCCGGCCAAAAGTGTATACACTTTTGGCAAAAGTGTATACACTTTTGCCAAAAGTGTATACACTTTCAGCCAAAAGTGTATACACTTTTGCCAAAAGTGAAAACACTTTTCGCAAAAGTGTATACACTTTTGACAAAAGTGTATACACTTTTCATAAAAGTGTATACACTTTTAGCAAAAGTGTATACACTTTTCCCAAAACTGCATACACTTTTTGAAAAAGTGTATGCACTTTTCACAAAAGTGTATGCACTTTTTGAAAAAGTGAAGTGCATACACTTTTGCAAAAAGTGTATGCACTTTTGGTGGAAATGCATGCACTTTTTGCAAAAATGTAATAGTTTTTAAAAAAAAAACTAGAAAATTTTGAAAAAAGATATCACTTTTTAAAGAAAATTCTTATTTTTTAAAAAAAATTATTTTTTTAAAAAATACTATAAAATTTTGAAAAAATATTGTTTTTGAAAGAAAATTCTTATTTCTTTTTAAGAAAAATCATAAAAAGTATGTGTTTTTAACAAAATACTATAAAATTTTGAAAAAAAATCTTATTTTTCAATAAAATTCTTCTTTCTTTTTAAGAAAAACTGTAAAATGTATGGGTTTTTGAAAAAAATACTATAAAATTTTGAAAAATACTAATTTTTAAAGAAAAGTCTTATGT